TTCGAAAGGAGAAACCAAACATCAGATGTGGTTGCAAAGCTGGATTACGTATTGCACATGACATCAGTGGCGGAGTGTACTGGATAACACATTTAAATATCACACACAATCATTCTCTTGCGACTTCGGAAACAGCACACCGTCTTAAGTGCAACAGGTAACCAATTTTTTTTGGAACAAACATTAATGTAATTTTATTTTATGATGCCTATAATCGATCTTAGTTTATCTTGCAGCCAAATCACACATTCTGAAAAAACACAGTTGACGAATATGAATGATGCCGGCATTCGGACTTATCAGTCGTTGAATTACATTGGAAATATGTCTGGTGATCCTACAAGCATACATTACAAAAAGAAAAATGCTTACAACTACCTAAACAAGCAGAGGAAAGATACAATGCGCAACGGTGATTTCAATACTGCTGTTGCTATGCTTGAAGGAGTGAGGATAAACGATCCTAACTTGGTTGTTAAAACAACTTGTGACGAAGAAGGGAGATTAACCAAGATTTTTTGGTGCGACGGATTTTCCCAGGCATCATATATGCACTTTGGCGATGTTCTAATTTTTGACAGCACATACAAAACAAACACCTACAAATTCCCGCTGGTGATATTTTCTGGGATAGATAACCACCTAAATACCACAATATTTGGTGGGGAATTACTTCATAATGAGACCTCCGAATCATACGTCTGGCTGTTAACGACGTTTATTGCGGCAATGGAAGGAAAGATGCCTAAAACAGTGGTGACTGATCAAGATGAGGCGATGCGAGCTGCGATAAAAAAGACCTTACCCGAAGCTACTAAACACAGGCTATGTTCATGGCATCTCCAGAGAAATTGTGTCCAAAGAGTGAAGGTCCATGACTTTTGCAGAGTCTTCGGGAATTTCGTCACAAAAACTCTGACAACTGCGGAATTTGAAACAGAATGGGAAATGGAAACGGTGAAACATGGTGTGTCGGATAATCAGTGGGTGAAAGACACTTTTAAAAGAAGACATCAATGGTGCGATGCCTATCTTCGAGGAAACTTCATGGGGATGACACGGACAACACAACGAGCGGAATCGTTAAATGCGCTATTCAAAAATGGAGGCACATCAGGAAGGACGATTACAGAGCTTCTAAAAAGTTTCCATCGTATCGTTTCATCTTTGCGTGAGAAATTTTTTCAGAAACAGGAAGATTCGGAGATGAACCCAACTGACATTCCCTTTGGAGCACCATTACACTGTATTCAGGTACAGCTATCCGCAATCTATACACACTCAGTTTTTGCAAAAGTTCGTAAGGAGATCGAGAATGAGCAGACTAATCTGGTATTTGCGAATGAGATGCAAGGAGCCTCACATGTCTTTACGATGGAAAAATATGCTTCACCAGACCGAAGAAAGTTGACGGTCCGTATAAATTTGAGTGAAGGGAAATTTGAGTGTGCATGTAAAATGTTGGAGACTGATGGCTTGCCATGCAGTCATCTTATTACTGCTTTTAAGTACTTGCAGCTTCGAAAAGTGCTAAAAGAATGCATATGTGACAGGTGGACGACATTGGCGGGTAAAGAACTTAGAGAAAAATTCCACTACATACCTGCATCTACTGATCCTAAACAGAAAAGGTATTTCGAACTGTATAACGAATCAGTTGACATGTGTATGAAGGCGTCACATACTGATTCAGATACTTCAAGGTGTTTGAAGAAAGTTCAACGTGCTAAAGATAACATTAAGACTAAAGAATTAAAGGATGATGTAATATCAACTGATCCTTTTGATAAAGGATCACAAGTTGTGAAGGATCCGGTACGGGGCTCTAAGCAGTGTAAAAACTCAGCCGACCCACCTAAGGCTAGGTCTAGAGGGGCACCACCAGCAAAAAAGCAAAAGTGCAAATCATGCGGGTACGTGTCGTACAACTTACAACTTACAATTGAAATTGTTTATTTTACGAGCATTTTACTTTATATGTTTCTTATGATATGCCACTTGAGTTTTAATTTGCAGTGAACTCGGGCATAAAACGACTACCTGTCAAGCAAATAAACTGAGCAGTCAACCGTCACCGTCTCAAGTTGGAAACGACTCTCAAGTTGGAAACGACGAGGACTTTTGCTTTCCATTAGGAACATAGTAAAAATGAGATAGAAACCGTCACTGTGGTGTTATTTTTTAATGTATTGTTTGAGTTTGGCCGTTGATGGGGGTATTATATAGTAAAGTTGATGTTATTTATTTGTTCTATGTGCATATAACATATAATCTTAGTCTAGAAAATGATGGGGTATTATATAGTAAATTTTATTAACATGTCATGAGGTGAATAAGGTCCAATAGATGATTAACCTATGAGTTTAGAGAGTATAATTATGATAAAAAAATGTGGATAATTCATTTTCATAACAAAGTCGAACGAGTTGTAATGTAATTCCAATTTTGTTATTTTCACAATTGACATGTCCACTTCAAATCTTAACTGAAAAACCATAAGAGCCTTATATTTTTAAATTCCAAGTGAGCCTTGCTAAAAGGGCCCAAAACATTTGCATCGAATGACACAACTTTGTTGGAGATGAACGTTGCTGTTATTGATTAAGATGTGTTTTGTTTGTTTAATAACTTCAATTCTGTGTTCCTGCTACCTTGTGCATAATTTCTGTAATGACTGTAATCTGCAGTTGTTTCACAAATTGTTGTAAGATTATGCTATATTTCACTAGTCTGCGGCAAATACACAACTACCACGCGTTTTTTTTTTCAACCGATAGAATTATATTCAACAAAATAATTACAAAGCGGGAGCTGAGAAGCCCAAGTTCAGAGAACTAAACTAAGAGAGCAACAACTAATACCTCTAGAACAAACATAGCAGATACATCACTAAAGGCACAAGGATCTCTGAGACCTAAAGTGATAACAATAAAACAACAAAGTCTAACCTGCCAATAGACTAGCCAAATATAGCACAAGAACTCAGCAAATATTAACCGATGAAGCTACAACTTAACCATAAATGGACCTAGCAGCAAACACCATCTTCAAAAAGTTCTTGATCCTTTGCAATGAGAGAACTCTATCCAATCACCACTACCAGCTGAGACAATCAAATGAGGAGGCAGCCATTCATTCTTGAATTTCCACAAATTTCTGGATTTACATAACCACCAAAGAATGTAAGTGGATATTACATAAAACATCTCAGCTAGGGATGGCAATGGGTGACAAACCCGCTGGGGGGACCCCCCGTCACCCGCCCCCATTAGGGAAAATACCCCCGTCACCCGCCCCATCACCCGTCTCGGGTCCAGATTTCCCCCAGACCCGGCACCCGTGTGGGTGACGGGTACCCATCGGGTGACACAGACCCGATTACACTTAATAAAAGCAACACAATGACACAAGAGGAAGAGCAAGAAGATGAGATTTCCTCTTATATATCTAGAGTTTAGTAGTGTTGCTGCCTGGTGAGTTCTTTTGGGCTGGGTCAAAACATATATAAGGCCAATTTATATTGGGTACATTATACCCATGGGTTAACGGGTATGGGGGGAGGGGGAACGGACCCAACCCCGCTAGACCCGATGGGGGGACTTTTTCCACCATTAACAAATCCATGGGGCCAAATTTTAGCCATACCCGGCTCCTAATGGGGTTTTTACCCATCGGGTTTCGGGTTTCGGGGGCCCATTGCCATCCCTAATCTCAGCTGTAACATTCTTAAACATTCGCACATTTAAATTTTCTGGATTTACACTAAAACAACGACAGTATTGTGGGATATTGATGGGGTCTTTTGGCTACAAGTCATCAGTGTTTTCTATGATTGACTTCATTACGATAATCACCAAGTATCCTAATGGTACGGAGATCATCTCAAGTGAATCGAACTTCGGTTCAGGTTTGTCGAAGTCCAAGAATGAATAGGAGTAAATTGTTTGATACACAGAAGGAAGTTCAAAACCGAATATTTCATGGTTTATTTGTTTTTATTTTTCTTTTACCTTACTGGATATTAACATCTAAGTAGCACAATATACAATATTATTGAGGCATTTCATCAATCATGAAATATTCTTATTAACGATTCACCAAAAGCACAATTTATCCTCATTTCACAAATCCACCTAATCAAATCAGATCTATATTCAAAAGAATCGATTACACGATTACACGAATGTGAAGCATAAACCATTTAACATAAAAATTTTATCAAAATGGGAGTTAGAGATCAACAATCTGGAATTGAATACAAAAATCACACAATACATTTCAGATACATGAATTTAAATTCTGGGATCTTGCAAACAGTGTCGTACGTCATACAATTTCGCGAAACAAATCACGGAGACGAAGCATACATTCGAAATAATTATGGATTCGAAATATACCTGGATTCAACATATCTCTGTAGACAAAAGAATCGGTATTGTCCGATTGGGCCATAGATCGGTATTTTCAGATTCACCATCGACAATCGTTTGAAAATATACATATACAGATTGGAAATCTTCTTCGATTGAATGATGGAGAGAGGGGGGAGAAAAAAGCAAAAAATAAATTAAATCGAAGAACAAATTGAATGGAAATAATAATGACAAATGTTGAGGTTTTGATGAAATAGTTTTGTATTTGAAGGATTGTTGTAGAAATAATTTAGATGTAAGGACTTAAAGATAAATATAATTATAAATTAATAAATTATTTTAATTTTTAATTACATAAGGGTAGTATAGGTTATTTGCAAGTACAAGGGGTACGAGGTTGGTACAATGGTGGTACAAGACAAAATAGAATTTTGGTTACCTTGTACCAACCTCGTACCTTAATCTAATGGTTCATATTGATTTTAAGTTAATCTAATGGTGATATAAAGAGGGTACCTAATGTTAGGTAGGTACGAAGGGTACCTGACAATAGACGATACTAGAATTGAGGAGCGACTAAAATAAATTGTAAATAAAAAGAAAAAAACCCATCTTAAATGAATACACCTACAATTCCAAAAGTCGCCTTCTTCTCTCACTCCCCAATAGGCTACACCGAATGAAGCTGCCGATGGTGTCCACCGCCATCCTCAAATCTTCCACCGGTGTCCCCTTCGCCAGCCTCTTGTACAGATAGCTCTCGAACGTCATCCTCTGCACGTACTCCTTGCCGCACAGCTCCACCAGCGCCTCTCTTCCGGCGTTGCTCCCGTAGAACACCCTCTGCAGCACGTCCAGGAACTTGAACGTCTCCAAGTACTCGTCGTCCCACCTCCTCAAGTATTCCCTCCTCAGATCCATCTCTCCTATCATCTTGACGCCGTTCTCCGACGCCCGAACGATCCCCTCCCCACACATCCTCCCGCTTTTGGCTGCGAAGTATATGCCTTCGCCGGAGCACTTGGTCACATATCCAGCGGCGTCTCCGACCAGAGCCACCCTTCCCCGGACCCTGGTCGGCCTGGGGTGCTCTGGGATCGGGTGAGCTTCGACCTTGATAATCTCGCCGCCGTCAATTTTGCATCTGACTCGATTCCGGATGGCGCCTTGAAGGTGTTTGATGTTTTGCCTTGACCGGACTGTGCCCGTCCCAACAGCTACGTGGTCGCATTTGGGGAAAACCCACCCGTAGAAGTCGGGAGAGACGTCGTCCCCCACGTACATCTCCGCCAGATTCTCGTAGTACTTCATTTTGTCCTCCGGAAGCTTAATCCTTTCTTGAAAAGCAATTGCGCAGTTGTAGTTTCCTGCCTTTATCGACTTAGCCACCTTGCTGTTTGCTCCATCTGCGCCTATCACAACATCTACGGCTAGGGATTTGTGAGTATTGTTAGAAATATAGTGGATTATATAAGGGGATATTTCAGATATAGGGATTTCGATGTTCTTGACAAGGGCTTTAATCAGGATGGCCCCACACTCCTCGGCCCGGGCCCGGAGGAAGTCATCGAGCACTTCGCGGCGGACCATGGAGATGAACTCGTGGGGCTTGAGCGTTTTGCCGAAATCGACCGTGAGGTTCGAAGGTGAGATGATCTTCATCTGGGTGACCTTGCGGTCAATGAGGTGGGTGGGGATCGAGAATTCGTCGAGCATGCAAAGAGGGATAGCCCCACCACACGGCTTGGCAGCTTCTGGGCTGCGCTCGAATATGTATGTCTCGATGCCGCCAGAGGCAAGAGATTTGGCAGCGGAGGACCCTGCTGGGCCTCCGCCAATGACCGCGACCCGTAATTTGGAAGTGGTGATATTAACGGTGGTGGCTGGTTTGGAAACTAATCTCTTCTGTGGTTTTATTAAGGTCTGGTGTTTGAAGGTTTGGGTTAGGGGGTGGAGGACTGAGGTGAAGGAGTTGGCAGCCATGTTTGATGGGGTTATTGGAGTTGGGGTTTTCTGAAAGCGGATGAGTGAGGTTATTCTCTATTATATTGCTGCTGCTGGATAACTCATTACTCATGTGATGGTGAACATTTTTTATTTAATAAAACATTTGGGGTTGGTTCTTACTCATCTCAAGTAAAATGAATAAATTACGCTTTGAGTTATTGCATACTTTAATCAACACCGAAAGTAAAGCCAACATCCAGTAGGGACCTTTGGTTTCTGTCAAAAAGTTGATTGTATATTTAAACAATAATGTAATAGTAGATATCAATATTTTTTTCAGCTTCTTTTTTAATACATGTCTTCTTACAACGTACGTAGCCCATGCGATGGGATGAGGCAATAATTATAAATTGCATGTATTAAAATAATGAAACAATATTGATTAGTATAAAAATATTTTTGAATATTGATATTATTTTATGCTATATAATAATTTAATATATGAATTTTATGTTTATTTCACTCGTTATAAAAGAGTTGTCATTTTAGAGTTTGTGTATATAATTGAAGATCCTGAAAATTTTAAATATTCAAATAATATCAATAAACAATACGCATATTATATTTCTCTCTCCATCTTTCTTTACCCATACCTTATTACAATATATTATCTCGATTTCTAACTATGTTCTAGTAAAGTTGAAAAATTGTGGCAAATATTATAACCAACACTTAATTGAAAAAGGTTGTAATATATATATTATTTTGTAGTTACAAAATATTAATTTTGAATTACGTTAATATTATTTTATTTTTCTTATAATTTATAATAATCTATATTATAAATACTTTAAGTTACCTCTCTAATCTATTAGTTTATATATATGAGATTTGTTATGATATTGTGAATTTTTTAAAACTAGTTATGTGCTGTTATTGGTAAAATCAAAGATATTTTTGAACTCCTTGAATAGATGATTGGAGTGAATGTTAAGATATTAACTCGATTGTAGTATTGTGGTAATTATATCAATACTATTTTTGCAATATATTTCTATATTTTATAATGAATAAGATTTTTAGTATATGGTTGGTTACCAAATGGATAAAAAACCATCGCGATTTGTTATTAATGCTGATAAATAAGATTTTATTGTAACCTCGTGATAAATATCATAATAAAACTTCCATATTGATTTTTAATTTTTAGTTTGTCACTATATTTGTAGTTTTATCATGCATATTCAAATAATATTTTTAAAACAAAATCTATTTAACAGATGATTTTTTTTTTAAAGATATGTTGTATGGTTGGTTACCAAATAAATAAGAAATTGTAGTAATTCGTAATTAATATGAAGAATCTGAATTTTATTGCGATACTCATCACAAAATAAATTTCAAAATTGGTACCCTTTATTTATATGGAAATACGTGCTATTAACCGAATTGCATGATTTACAAATGTAGGTATAATTTGATCTCCATTTTTTATAAAATATTAATTAATTTTAACTATATTTCCTTTAATAGTAAGTGAACATACTTAATTACAAAGTCAAAATTGTTATTTTAGATTATTCCATCAACTTCAAATATAGATATATATAGATATGATGATTTAATAGTCCTTTAGTGACATTAAGATTACCTATGAGTGTGATTTTTTTGTCTATCACACTTGAGGTCTTCTCACGTGGCCCATCCTTTGATGATAAGTTAAATAAATCCATCTAAGCAAACCTACGACCAGATAGTACCTTACATGTAACATATTATTACACCTTAGGATCTGTCTAAGCCGTGGGTACAGCCTTGTTACCATTTTAGTAATAAATCCCCCGGATCCGGAGGTCTTTTGTGCTCATATTTGATTTTACTTGACCGGATGGACCTTTCAAACACAATGATCTTTGTGAGGTATTCAGATGATTCTCAACCCAGGTGCTGCTCGTCAGCTCGCTATTGATAGACGATATAGGGGAGCACTTACGCTTATAAGGAGACATTGTCTCTGAACAAACATCAAAATTAAGCGGTCTGAGTCTTGGAGAGCTTAATGACCTGGCTTTTGCTTTGGCGGACTCAGTGGAGGCCATGTATGTAGGAATGATAGGTGAACGTGGGAATGAATAATCGTTCCCTATTGAACGTTGCTTCCTGTGATGACCTGAGCTTGTCGGAATGTATGCACGAGGATCTGGAAGTTCAGCCTCATATTGCCTTTGTAAATATCTTGAGTTTGCTGACAAATTCCTCTCCAAGTTCCCAAGAGTATGGCTTTTAGCCAGCTGGGCATCTACCCATTGTTCTAGCCAGTATCTTCGTCTCCCGTGCACCTTGTCCCTTTCGGTTTCTGCTGATCTCTGGAAAATAAATATATTTTCCTTTTGACCGCATAGTTCATATTTGCAAACGTGTATACTGTAATGAATCAAAAGATTTGAAGCTCGAGAAACTGACCCGATGGTTTAAGTAGTATTCTCTGATTCTGTCTCTCTTGGTGGAAGCTTCTCTCTTTGTCACAAAGAGGGATTTTAGCTCGTCTTTGGTCAGTGTGCTATCTTCCCACCTTTTTTGGCTGTTCGAATGTACCTGCAGTTTTTTGTAGAGCATTACTCCGATTATGATTCTAATGCACACATAGGAAATATTATATTTTCAGTAATCGACAGAGAACAAAACAAAGAAAAAATTGAAATTTCCACGACTAAGAATTTCGATTCGTAACTGGCTTTTTAATTTCGACATAGTTTTCTAGTGCATATATACTGTAATTTGTGCCACACAACTGACTGGGAAACTCTTACATTGTCAGGGTCAGACCAAAGCCAGGAAAAAAAAAAAAATAAATAGTGAATGCAGAGAAATAGGGAGATGAAACTAAAAAAACAAAAGGAGCATTGTAAAGTAGTTCATCTAGGTGACAATTGACCTATGATATGTCCATTTAAGTTGAACTTTGTTTTGCAGATTCAGTGCATTATAATTTTTTTTACCATCTCCTATACATGCATGATTATATTTTTTTTTTTTCATTTTTATAAATATAGTTACATTATATCAGAAAAAAAAAATCATAGAACAATCTTGTTAATATCTTTCCCATATGAATAAGTCTATTGCAGATAGTTTTAGCAAGACGCTTTTATGTCCTTTTCCTTGAAAGTATATCACAGATAGTTTTAGCAAGTCACCTTTATGTCCTTTTCCTTGAAATCCTGGCACTTGTATTCTTGACAATACAAACTGCTCTTACTCCGTTCACTTCTCTTTGAGCAAACGTCTGTCTGGATGTTCACTATGGACTGCAGACACTTGAGGGTGTGAACAGCTTGCTGCCGGACGGCCCAACCGCGTATAAGAGCTTGAAGCCTGACCACTCCTTTCAGCGCCTGTAGTGCTTTTCTTGCCTTGTAACACAAAACAAATATAGCTCACAAGTTTATTGATTATTATTATTATTATTAAGTATCGTGACAAATTTTCCTTTACGTAAATAAATACTCGGAAACAAAAATACAAAATTTGTAAAAATCATTTTGAGCGAATGGGTTTTTAGACAAAGTAGCGTGTTCAGAGCAATGTTTCTAAATACATGCCATTTTTTTTATTCTTTAACATATTTTACAGTGCTTGCAGCTATCATGGAGATATTCGCTTAAAACAAACTCACTAGATAACGGCGAAAAGCAGCTTGGATCTTGGTGGCAGCCTGATGTTGAGACTCCATCTCGTGTTGGGGACTAATGACACAAATATTACTCTGGACTGATTCCCGACTCTCAGTGTGCTGATGAGCCGGTTGAGCATCTGCAGGTGTGGGCCCCACCAGTGGAGCATCATCTATTGCAGTGATCACAGGTATGGCGCTATTACTCTGTTCAGCTGTTTGCCATGGCAGCCTTTCCTTTGCAGGGGATGTTTCGGGCAGTGGGGACAGTTCCTTGATCTTGAGCAGTCGGAAGACCCATCTCGTTCGCTTCTCCTTCTTTTGCATCATTTCAAGTAACCGGATGATTAATAGGTATGATTTTTAGTGAGACTTAAAGAAAAGATAATTGTAAATTGAAAAAAAAAAAATTGCGGTCATTGTTTACCTTTTCCGGTTTCAATTGTGGCTCTGAGATGAAAAAACTTTTTATCAGACTAAACCATGTCTTCTTCTTGGCCATCTTATTACAACTGCTGATATATATATATATAGAAAAAAAAAAAAAAATTAATGTAACTAACAAAGGCTGTGCTACTATACGTTTTCTGTGTGCTTCCTTAATATGAACAACTGCAAAAGAGCACAAATGAATGCATGTGGTACCGAGACAGTTTTTTTCTTGGTGAATTATAATTAAAAGGGCCACAAGATTGAAAAGTTTCATGGCCTTCTATCAATTGTAGCTGCTATGTTCGCTTTTTTTTTTTTTTTTTTTTTTTTT